TGTTGGTAGTCGTGTTTACAGTAGAGTTTGTGGTCTCTGGAGTAGCAGCTCATGGTGAGAAGCTGCTGACACACCGAGCACTGCAAACACTCCTCATGCCACGAGCTGTCGTTCATGCGCAGGAGGAAGCGGTCAGAGATCGGCCGGTGACAGCCTTCACACACACTCTGATGATGAGCGCAGTCTGCACCTGACGACACACACACACACACACACACACACACACACACATGCTGCATTTTTATTTGATTTTATGTTAACACTTTACCATAAGGTTGAATTACTTAATGAATTTATTAAAATGGACAAACAATGCATTTACTATAATATTTGCTCATGTTATTAAATACAGTCGATTATTGTTTGTTCATGTTAAATCACGGCGCATTAACTATGTTAACAGGCATGAATTTAGATTGTATTATTGCATCAGCAAATGTTGAACTGATTAATAAATTCTGTACATGTATTGTTCATAATTAGCTCGCTAGCAAATGCATAAACTAATTCAACATTATTGTAAAGTGTGACCGACTTCATTATGGTTGCATGTATAACCCCATCACACACACGCAGTAGAGTTTAAAAAACATCATGCCAGTGTTGTTGTCATAATTAAATGTTGGGTCAAATATGCACTCAAAAATGATTTGTGTTGCCTTTCAAACTACTTATTTAAAATGAGTGGAAACAGCACACTTCTTTAGATTTTTTTGAGGGATATTGTAATTATTTTATGTTTAAAGTTTTTCACAAATTGATTTGTATTAACGTGAATGAACTGTGTGGAACCCTGCATTTGTTTACAGTAAAACACAAGGTTGGGTTATTTTTTATTAAATGTAGGCTAAATTGCACTTTTTAACCCGGAAGGGCTACAAACACAAGGTTTGGTTGATTGTTTTTCATTAAATGTAGGCTAAATTACCTTTTTAACCCAACTGTTGGGCTGCAAACACAGGGCTGGGTTAATTGTTTTTGTTTATTAAATGTAGGCTAAATTACACTTTCAACCCAACGGATGGGCTACAAACACAAGGTTTGATTACTTGTTTTTCATTAAATGTAGGCTAAAATACACTTTTTTAACCCAACGATTGACCTACAAACACAAAGTTGGGTTAATTGTTCTTTATTAAAACGTAGGCAACACTTTTTTTAACCCTACGATTGTGCTACAACACAAGGTTGAGTTAATTGTTCTTTATTAAGATGTAGGCTAAACTACACTTTTTAAACTCAACGATTGACCTAACACAGGATTGGGCTAATTGTTCTTTATTAAATTAGGCTAAATTACACTTTTTTTTAAGCCAACGATTGTGCTACAAACACAAGGTTGGATTAATTGTTTTTTGTTTATTACTTGTAGGCTAAATTACGGTTGCTCTACAAACACAAGGCTGGGTTAATAGTTTTGTTTTATTTATTTATATAAAGTAGCCTAAATTACACGTTTTAACCCAACTGTTAGACTTGTCCATTTTTTTTAATTTGGGTTACAAAAACACAGCATTTTTAGTGAATAAATAAGTAATAAAAACAAATGCATCGACACAACTTACATTTGAAACTCAGAATAAAATCTAGCCTTTCTTGAAGTAAACCTAAAAGCAAAACTAAAAAAATCGTTACGCGGAGTTATTATCAAACCATTTAATTTGATTTACGCATGTTTTTATATTTATGCTTTTAATTATATTATAACAGATTAATATTACAAGTTGTTTAAATTGTTGGACTGAAATGTCACATCTATCTTCAATTAAATATGTTAAACTGAATAACAGGTTACATGTCAACAAACACTTCGTGTGTTTATTCAGAGGAAACGTTGCACACCGTGTTTGCATTGTGTTTGTATTGTGTTAATATTTCGGCACCGGTTGCTATTATTTAATATAGCCTGCCCTGTACATTTTATCGTTTTTAATTCATAAAAACAAAAAGATAAAATAAATAATAAAAAAAGAAAATATATGAAAATTTATTAATGCAAAAGACAACTTAGTTTTCATATATATATATATATATATATATATATTACTAATGAAGAACGTGTAATATTAAATTATACTGTTTTTATTACGCAACGCAATTCTGTAACAAAAATGTGTGAAGTCTAATGCCATCATTTAAATCGTGTGTTTTTAATTGTAAATTGTAAATTTACAAGCGCTGTAAAAAAAAAAAACATGAAAACATGCACATTTAACTATGATCTGAGCCGTGAAAATATTATCCTAATGCTGGGTTGTTGGGTTAATTTTCTGTTTGATTGTTGCAATTACATAACACAAATAAATAACACTTTTTAACACCGCATTTTCAGTGTGTGTATACTGAAGTGTCAGTCCTCTGAGAGTGTGTGTGAAACTCACCCAGCATCACTCCTAGAGTCTCCGCTCCTGTCCTGAACTGATCCTCAATTTTGATTCCGTCCAGCATGTCTACTTGAAGAGTTGCCGGACACTGACTCTCTCCAGACGCGTAAAACCGATCCCAAAAAGACACACGAGACAGAAACTAAAAGTAAACTATGTCATCTGTCGCTTATTGGTTTAATAGACAAGACAAAACAGCGCGTTTAAAGATCTGCGTGTACTGCGCCTGATCACACCGACTCTGAGGATCTTCCAGCCGGATCTGTCGAGAGGGTCGGTGTTGGAGTTTTGGTGGAGAAGTTGTAGTAATCCAGCGGTGTGTGTATGTGTGTGTGTGTATGAGCTCCTCTTGAGGATCCTGGAGCTGCTGAACTCCCTCTGATCGCGTCATTCTGCTGAGCTGCATGTGATGCCATTGGTGCTGGATCGCGCAGAACCGCCTACAACACACACACTCATAGAAAGACACCCCAACACACAAACAGACATACACAGACAGAAAGACAAACACACACACAAACAGATATAGACAAAGCACACACACACACACACACACACAGAAATACAGACACACACACAAAGTCAGGCAGACACACAAAGACACAAGCACAAAAATACAAACACGCACAACTCTCTCTCTCTCTCTCTCTCTCTCTCCCACACACACACACACACACACACACACACACACACACACACACACACACACACACACACACACACAAAGAATGAATGCAGACAGACACACGTAAAAACAGAGACACAAGAAAACACACACACACACACACACGCACGCACGCACACACACACACACACACACACACACACACAGAGAGAGTGAAATACAGACACGCACAAATACATAGAGAGACAAACACGCAGACATACACACACAAAAAAGACACACACACACTTAAATATTTCCATGAAGGACATTTAACATTCATTTTCATTGCTGAAGATATTTAGAGACAATCTAAAATGATTTTCTTCACATTATAAGACGGAACTAAAAATGCAAAATAATAAATAAACAAATAAATGAATAATTAAATGCATCGTATTCATATCATATCTTAAATAATCTGCATAATCTAACTAAATTATAGTTTTATTCACGTCAAAACTATGTAAACGCTAAAATGCTGGGTATAACCCAGAGTAAAATGAACAAGCTCAACAGAAAAAAGTCATTTAAATTTAATGTAAAATTAACCCAACGTTGGGTTTGACCATATTGACCCGGCGTCAGGTTATAAACTGTCCTGAACTGACCCTCAATTTTGATTCCGTCCAGCATGTCGATCTGATTCTGAAGTGTTGCCGGACACTCTGTCCTAAACCAGAGTAAATTATCAAGCTCAACAGTTGAATAAAAACAAAAAAGCCCGACGTCAGGTTATTAACTCAGCATTAATATGCCCGATACATAAAGTTGAGGCAGCTGAAGCAGAGGTCAGATCAGGTGAATAATACTCCTTCAGGCAATAACGACACTAACTAACTAACTAACTAACTAACTAACTAACTAACTAACTAACTTATCATACCTCCATCCATCTGCTTGGGTTTTATTTGCGAAATAAATAGTTTGATTTAACAAAACGGCAATAAATATAATCGATGGCTACTATTTTTATTATTAGCTTTTCCCCCATGTCATTAAATATATAAACGCGTTTTAGCTTAAAGTTTAACTTGACATTTTAAATAGGCCAATAAACCTCTAATATAACACACATCAGGCATGAGCAACTTCAAATAATCTTTATTTATTAAAAGAACTGACGGATCTGCAACAGACAAGTTGACAATAGATTTTCATTTATTCATTGATTTTCTTTTCGGCTATGTCCCTTTATTAATCTGGGGTCACCACAGCGGAATGAACCGCCCACTTATCCAGCATATGTTTTATGCAGCGGATGCCCTTCCACCTGCAACCCATCACTGAGAAACATCCACACACTCATTCACACACACTACGGACAATTTAGCTTATCCAATTCACATGTTCCGCTTGTCTTTGGACTGTGGGGGAAACCGGACCTCGCGTACGCGGGAAGAACATAAACTCCACACAGAAACGCCAACTGCACCAGCCCAGGCTCGAAACAAGCGACCTTCTTGCTGTGAGGCCAACTTTGTTCAACAATTTTACACTGTAAAAAGCAATTACTTAATAAGGTGAGTAAACCCATTGCCCTAAAAGTGTTAAGTAAAATCAACTTGTCATTTTTAAGTTACAACAGAAGTACTTACATTTTTATGTTAACTTAACTTTTTTTTTTAGAATTATGCACATGGCTCATTAATAATTTGAAGGCAATGAGTTTACACAATTTTTCAACTAAATCACTATTTACAGACAACACTGAAATAAATGCCGGGTTTAACACAATTCCTTAATGCTGTCTCAACACAAATCAATTAAGTTAACTCAATTGTTTTTAGAAATTTAAGTAGATTGAACATAAAACAATTAAGTTGTCCCAAAAACACCCAAGAATGGTGTTAATTCAGCTCATTTTAAATAAGTAGTTTGAACAAGCAACAAAGATTTTGTTGTATACAAAATATCGACATAAACATAATAATAATATTAATATATAATACATATTAATACAATATATTGTATTAATGAAAATTGGTATCGGGTTTTAAAATTACAATATTATTTTTTCCTCTTAAGCGGATTGTATTTAATTGGTTTGCAACAATTTTTCGACTTATGTGAAATAGTAAATTCGAGTCTGTTTTTAATAGCAACGATTCGTTTTATTTCTCGCGCATGCAGCTGCTCTGAAAACTGCGCTTCTTTTATCTCCACGAAGTGACATTATCTCCATGATTAATAAAGACCCAGATAAAAGCTGATTTAATCTCTCCCCGCATAATATCCATGTAAAATTCATAAGGAGAATCTTTTGTGTTTCAGATGTGCGCAAATTCATTTCAGAGACAGACATCTCAGGGCAATAAACCTTTGAGGGGGTAAAAAAAAAAGAAAGGCGGGAAAAGGGGGAGTTTGTATCTTTATTACTTTCCTCATTAGTATTCGTCTCTGCTTTAATTATGACAGGCTGATTTACGTGCTTCCTGCACAAGAAATATGCCTTTCTCCTCAACATGATCGGGTTTTTCAAGACGACGATTTTCATTCAGTCCTGCTTCACACACACACACACACAGCTAAATATATGATTTATTTGTGTGCATTTATTGGGTTTATATGAAAGCTGTAATAAAAAGAGTAATAAATATAGCTACTATTAGACTTTTAAGTTCGCTAAAATGTACTTCCAATTCATATATCAGTTTTGTTAAAAGGCTGATAAACAAGCTATTGTTTAAAGCCAATGATTGTTTTTAATTGTCATAATTGTTCACAAAGGATGAACCAACTTGCTTATTGTGGGCCTATGAGAAAGGTAGTTATTGTTCAGTCTGTCTATCCATCTATTCATCTCATTTTTGTATAATTATGTGCAAATAATCAATTCTAGACAACATTCAAAGGGATAGTTTGCCCAAAAAGTAGCCACATGCGTTTAATTTATTTACACTTTTTATTTATGTAGCTTAATTTTGTACAAAAATTTGTACAAAGTTATGACAGTCTTGCTTTATTTATTACTGAGGTCTTACAACTTTAATATTAATATATTTGAACGAAGATGTAAACGAAAATAAGCTTATAAAAAGGGCTGGTTCTACCCACTATGAGATTGCACATGTTCGAATGATGGATAAATTTGTCAGCATGATTAACCAATAGTCATCCCCTTTTCGATATAGTGCCAGCGTGTGTAAGCTCTTTTAACTCAAGTTTAAATCAGCCCCGGTCATGCAGGGAACAACACAGGAAGGCATTTTTACCAACAGTGATAAGATTGTATAACCAATTGTAGCCTAATAGCATTAGGACTAGTGTCTCGTTGTTTGAAACTAGGGTTTGCAGTGTGAAAGCAATTTTATTAATATTTTGTTTTTTTTTATGTAATTTATTTTATCTATATTTTAGCATGGAGGGCTCTGTTGTGACGTGAATTTCCCTTTAGGGAACAAACAAACAAACAAAAATAATGTGAACAAAATTATAGGATGACGCATTAAAGCGTGAAGAACACTAGAAATAATAACTATTTTCGTGCAACTGATAGTACACTTGTAATACGCGTAATTAATAAGTCACAATTAATCAAAACATTTATGCAAATATGAATGTTAATATTTTAAAGAGAAGCGCAGGGCGAACTGGGTTGTTGCTATCAGATACGGTTGCGGCCGAAAGTTAACGAGAATTATTAATATTGTTTATTAACTTTTCCATTAATTATTGTTTAATTAACATCTACCCCTTCCCAACCATCACAGTAACATAAAACAGTAGTTGTACCGAGTATTATTTGCTAAATTACCCAATAAATTGTATTTTTTAAAGTTTACCACAACCCTAAACCCAACCGTCACAGTAATGTAAAATATATTAAATTAGTGTCACACAAATGATATTAATGTGCGGATGCGCAGCTGTATCCCTTCTAGACTCTTGTTGGCGACTGCTGCAATGGTTACCGCACGCGAGCTGTCTTCGAGAACGCATTCTTTTTTGGAACACATGGCGTCTTAACTTTTCGAATCGAATTCATATTCGAAAACAAATAGGCTCTCATTGCTATTTGGTCTGACATTGATAGAACTTGTTTTGGGTATATTTTAAACTATTTCCCTGATCATGCCATTTCTAATCCGTTATTCTCACACAATCATAAAACAACAAACCTTAATATATCAAATTTAATCTTTACCCATTAATTACACTGAAAGATCACACTCGCCCATATAGAAATAAAAATGCTTTTATAAACAATAAACTGCAAAACACCAAACATACCAACAAAACAAAATTAAAATAAATTATTTCGTAGTCATGAATTTGCATAGCTATAATTGCTGGATTCCATAAACTACCGCGTATTTTTGCACTGAACTCTGCAGATTTGGGTTTAATTTGGGTTCTTGCGCCCTCTCGCGTTAATCTTCCGCTATTGGACTTTAATATCACTGTCATTAAAACAGACTGCCTAGTACTGTCCGACTAAAAGTGTTATGACTGTCATTATAACGAATTCAGAATGTTTACTATTCAATAAATATGTAGGAAATGTTTACATTTTATTATATTTTAAATAACAAAAAAACATTATTTATAATAAATTATTTACTTATATTATATCACAAACATATTTATTACTAAAGTTTGCACAAATACATTTTATATTTGTGAAATTTCAAAAAAAAAAAAAAAAAAACACTAAAGCAAATATTCTTTCGAAATGAAATAGCAAAATGAATGAATAAAAAAAGCAATAAAAATAAATAAATAAATACAAACAAAAGGTCCAAATTAC